ATCTTGACTCACTGCAACCTCCACCTTCCGGGTTCGAGCCATTCTCCTGCCTCAAGCTCCCAGGTGGTTGGGACTATAGGCATGTGCCATCACGCCCAGCTAATTTTATTTATTTATTTATTTTTTAGTAGATACGGGATTTCACCATGCTGGTCAGGCTAGTCTTGAACTCCTGACCTCAAGTGATCCACCCACCTTGGCCTCCCAAAGTGCTGGGATTACAGATGTGAGCCACCACGCCCAGCCTTAGACAATTTTCAGTTCTGTACACTTTAAGTCAATGTGGAATTTAATTAAGACATAAATCAACATATGTCTATCACAATCATATTATATATGTGTTTGTTTATCTGTAAATATGACCCCAATTTTGGTTATGCTGTATCTTGTGTATATTATTTTTTACCTAATTTTTAATGGTTGTTTTAGTAGTCATGGAAGTAGTCACCATTTGTTTAATGATGAATATATATCTTCTCTGCGTGAGAGAAACACTTTTGTGATTTGAAGGTAATTTTTAAAAAGATTTATAATTCTGTATTTGTTTTAGGTTTTTCTTTTTGTTAATGTTAGTGTTATAAAAATATATAACATAAAATTTACCGTCTTAAATCTGTTGAAGCTTACATTTCAGGCATGGTGTTGGCTCACATCTGTAATCCCAGGATTTTGGGAGGCCAAGATAGGTGGATTGCTTGAGGCCAAAGTTTGAGATTAGTCTGCACAACATACAGAGATTCCCTCTCTACAAATAATTTTTTAAAATAGCCAAGCATAGTGGTGTGCGCCCGTGGTCTAAGCTTTTTGGGAGATTAAGGGGGAAGGATTACATGAGCTTTGGAGTTATAGTCTATGGTGAGCCATAATTGTGCCACTGTACTTCAGCTTGGGCGACAGACTGAAACCCTGACTCAATAAAGAAAAAAAAAAAAGCTGTACATTTCAGGCATGATAAGCATGTTTACATTGTTATTCAAAAAACATCTAGAAATTTTACACCTGTGAAACCAAATACACATAAAGTAACTAGTACTCATTTTACTCTCGTTAGCCCTTAACAAACACCCTTTTACTTTCTGTTTTTATTTAGTGTGACTACCTAAGATATGTCAAATAAGTGGAGTCATATGATATCCGTAATTTCTTTACTTGTTAATTTCAGGTGACATAGTATTCTCAAAATTTATCTTAAAATTATTTTTTGATATATTTATCAATCAAGAAACATCTAAGTTTCTTCAGCCTTTTGGCTTTTGTGCCTACTGATACAATAAATATGGATGTTCAAATAATGTCGTACAGGTCCTGCGTTTTCTGTCATGAATATAGATTCATAAATGAGATTTCTGTATTTGATGATAATTTCATTTTTAATTATTTGAGAAACATAACATTTTAAATAATGGCTGCATACTTGTTTTCCACCACCAATCAACACAGATTTTTTTTTTTTTTTTTTTTTTTT